CAATCTCTCCTTCATCTGTTCCTCTGCTTTTGCTTAGCTAAGTTCTGACAGTTGTGGTGAACTGCATCAAGACCCCTTCCCTTCCCCCTGAAATTTTGCCCTGGATGGGGACCTGGGCTCATGTGTACACCCAGGCTGGTGACAAGCGCCCATATACATGACATGCAGGTAAGAGCTCTTGTGCTTTTGTTTGGCCCGGTTCTTGGACCCTCCACATGCAAAAGCCTCTATAGTACTAAATGTTCTGCGTACTCGGGGAGAGGTCCAGTGCTTCTCAAAAGGAGTACCTGCAACCCGACAACAGCAGCATTGTCCCGAGAGACACTATTGCTCAGGAGAAAGGCCCTAGCCCATGATGGAGCACTCCTCCTGCCAGTGGCATGGCTGGTACTGATGTAAACAATCATGGTCAACATGGTTTTTCTTCTTTTTCTTTTTTAAGGTGGCAAGGCCCTGAGTAATATGCATGCCCCTCCGGATTATGACACTTTGTTTAAGCACGGGGAGTCTGCTGTGACATACACGGGTATGGATGTGTGGCGGGAGATTTTTCTTCCTCCTTCAGCTATGCCATGGTCAGAGTTGAAGCAGGTTTCCTGAGGTTGCAACCTCGTTATTTAGAGCTGCACCCAACAGAACAAGCCTGGCCCTCCCTCCATCTTTGGATATGGGTGGAGTGCATCAACAACCCCTCTGTAGGGATCCATCTAGAGATAGCACCCACAAACCTCTGGGGGGCCTGGGGCAGAGTTCCAGGAGGATCTGGTAATCCTGCCAGGTAAGCTGTGAGTCACAGTTCCGGTGCGCCAGGCCTGCACAGTAGATTCCCATGTGACTGCTCACGTGGTACCTGGTGTGGGGAGCCAGGCTTGCTCTGACCACCAAGTCGCTTCTTAGCACCATTTCCTGTGGCTTGTCTTGGGAGCCACTTCCCTTCCTCCTGCTCTGGGACAGTGTCACACTAGTGGCTTTACTCCTCCATGGCAGCCTTTGCTGTTGTTTTTAATCTTAGGAATTACAGCCAGGGAAGACTGTTGTCTTGTCTACTCTCAGCAGAACAGAAAACATTTCCTTGGGTTTTGAAGACAAATCACAAGGAAGGCTCAGTGTGCCGGTCAAAGGACGGCCTGAGCCCAGCATTGCACAGACACTTGGCTGACATCTGTCCTGTCTGCCTGTCTGTCCACTTAGGAATGTGCAAGGCCAGGCTGCAGCCAGCCTAGTAACCTGGACACTGAGTGGCAAGGGTGCTCTTCTGGGAGGACTGGATCCTTTCAGCAAGAGGGCAGACTACGTGACTACAACATACTAACTTCCTCTTTCATAAGTCATCACATGATGAACTACAATTACAATTCCTGCCTTGTCTCTGCGGATTGCAGGCGCATTGACTCACTCTAGAAAGCCTGCTCCTGTGTGTGGAGGAGGCGGCTATAACTCCAGCAGCCGCCGCCTTGGATGCGTTCCAATTCCAGTCTGTGCCGGGAGGGAGGGAGGGAGGGAGGTGGAGGACAAAAACAAAGCTATGTTTACTTAGCATACATCGATAACACAGCTCCAGAACCAGAGAAAGGCCAGTCGGCAGGAAAGACTGCTGATATAATGCAAGCTGGTGTGGCCCTGAGTTCAGGCCTGCCTGCCTTAACCCTGTGAATCCCAGGTGCTTTCTGGGCAAGCCCTCCCCCGCAGCAGACGTGGCCTTTCCATTTTTTCCGGCCTGCATCTCAGGAGGGAAGTTCTCACTGCTAGGTTTTGACATTGAGCTGGTAATGTGAAATGTGAAATAAAAAGCACAGGTCTGCTCTACAAACATACTCACTTGGAGCTCTCCGGGCTGAGACTGTGTGGCAGTGCTTCTATTTGGGGAGGGGGTGCCCACTCCCGCAAGTTGCCAGCATAATTAGGTCACAGCTCTAATGGCCAGTTGTGTTTCCTTTTAATAAGAGCAGGAGTACCAGGTGGGGCCATCTCTTGGGGGTGCTGAGATGGGTCATGTCTGCAGGGAAAACACCAGGCTGCTTGTCTCCTTTGCCTCAATGGCTCCTTGGGTGACGTCATGCGCTGAAAAATGTGGCCCGGGGTCTCAGAGGGGAGTGACCAGGCCAGGGCTTGTGTAACCCCACTGGCTCCAGTGTTTCCTGAGTGGGAGGGTAGGTGGTGGCCAAGGGCCCGCTGGGTGGCTGGGAGGCCCAGACAGCCAGTGCACCCTCTCGGAAAGCCCCCACAGGAGGATGGCACTCGAGGTTAGCCTGTCAACAGTGAGTCTGGCATCCGCTTTTTGCCCTGCCATTTCCAACAGGCCTCTTCATGTGCTGCAAGCCGGGCGGGCCTGTTTCCTCTTGTGGTTCTCCTTTGAAGCAACCTGGCATTTTCAACCGAGGCAGCTGGAGAGAAACGTCAGCAGGGGTTTTTTCTCTGCCTCTCCACCTCCAATCCAGTTGTAGGAAATATAATTAGTACTCTATTCTTCCCGAGTAACCAACTCCTTCCAGACTCAGGGAGAAGAGGGGCCTGGGTTTCCCACAAAAGCAGTCACCACAGAGACACTGGCCCGGGGCTCCACAGTGACCAGTGCACTGGGGCCCCTAATTCCATACAGGGTACTTGCACACCAGCTCCCCCCACAGGAGTGCATGTTGGTGCACACCAGCCCCTCCTCCTGAGCCAAGTGTGCATGCACACCAGCCCCTCCTGACACAATGTGTATGCACACCAGTCCCTGCCCTTGATAGAGGTGCGAGTGCACACCAGCCCCTCCTCCTGACACAATGTGTCTGCACACCAGCCCCTCCTCCTGACATTAGTGACTTGCACACCAGCCCCTCCTCCTGACACAATGTGTATGCACACCAGTCCCTCCCCCTGATAGAAGTGCACGCGTCCACACCAGCCCTTCCTCCTGACACAAGGGTGCACGCACGCAGCCTCCCCCCAATAGAAGGGCCCCAGTGCCCACCAGCCCCTCCTTGTGACAGGAGCGTGTGGGCGCGCACCCCGGGTTCTCCTCCCGACAGGGGTGCGCGCGCCAGCATTGCGCAGCCGCGTCCGGGCCGAGTGCGCGCGGCCCCCGGGGAGGCC